TATTGCTGACAGACTGTATTGCTTTCAAAACATTCAAACTTTAAGCTTTTAAAACTACTTCAAACTACCTCAGAAAACCATCAAACGTAAAACTTTTTAAACTTTTCAAACTTTCTGGTCCAACTTAAAGTTTGTCTTGACAAACTTTTTTATCTAATAATTATTATTTATTTATTTTTTTTCTAGCAGGGACCATTTATCAAACAAAATATCACTGACATTTTGCCTCGCCGCAACAGCTAAAGTCTGTCTAGTACACTGGACGCGACAAAGCGACTGTTGAATTTTAAGCTTTTAAAACTACTTCAAACTACCTCAGAAAACCATCAAACGTAAAACTTTTTAAACTTTTCAAACTTTCTGGTCCAACTTAAAGTTTGTCTTGACAAACTTTTTTATCTAATAATTATTATTTTATTTTTTTTTTTTCTAGCAGGGACCATTTATCAAACAAAATATCACTGACATTTTGCCTCGCCGCAACAGCTAAAGTCTGTCTAGTACACTGGACGCGACAAAGCGACTGTTGAAAATCATTTGAAATGTGTGTCAATACGTCATGAATAGAATGCAGCAGCAGTTTTCTGTCGGGGATTTCTCATGTCGTGCCGCACAGCATCCAGTGTGGACCATAGATATGTATGTACAGTATATCTCTGGTGTAGACAGCATCACTGAGTTCTATGGTATTTTGTCACGCCGCTCGCATCCGTTGTAGACACGGTGTCAGTTTCACACAGAAGCGCTAACCTTTTCTTAAACAAACAACAAAAAAACATTAATCATGTTAAGGGCAAGGAATACTGTTTATTAGACAAATAATCCAATAATAATTCCTTTCACGTTTAGTCTTTTCGTCTGTGCTTTTCACTCACAAGTCCATCGCATTCTCATGTCGTGCCGCACAGCATCCAGTGTAGACCATAGATATATGTATGTACAGTATATCTCTGGTGTAGACAGCATCACTGAGTTCTATGGTATTTTGTCACGCCGCTCGCGTCCGTTGTAGACACGGTGTCATTTCACACAGAAGCGCTAACCTTTTCTTAAACAAACAACAAAAAAACATTAATCATGTTAAGGGCAAGGAATACTGTTTATTAGACAAATAATCCAATAATAATTCCTTTCACGTTTAGTCTTTTCGTCTGTGCTTTTCACTCACAAGTCCATCGCATTCAGATATAAAAAATATATATATAAAAACATTAACAAAACAGTTCACATTACAAGACAGCTTCCTGCATTCAGATGACACAAATCAGTGTGCTGTTTTCGTCAGTGTCTGCATTTCCCTCTATAAACCCATTCACACAGCCACAGTATTCTCAAACGATTCATAACGTCCTATACGTAATGCAATCTGCCTCGTGAAAACAGTGCAACGGATTAAACGCGCCGCTCCAGCGTACAGATTCATTTCCTATAGCATTACGTTTAGTAACGTAACATTTGGTTTGGTTTGCACTTAAAATACGTAATACGAAAACGTCTTTTTAAAAACAAACTTACGTTAAAAGTACAGTTGAAAATTGTGTGGCCATTTTGACGAGCAAATAAGCTCTCAGGCTTTCAAAAAATAGCTAAATCTATGTATTAAATACATGCTTCTGTAAAAGGCTTTCTGTCTGTAGCTGGCTGAGGTTCATCTCAGAAAAGAAACCTGTAGCATGAGGCGTTGAGAACAGAAATCGCCACATTTTCGGGGGAAAACTCGTGAAACCAAACGAGAACATATCCAGGTTATTATATTTAGCATGAAGAAAATGAAAGATTTCGGTAACACTTTACAATAAGATTTCATCGGTTGCCATGGTTACCGCAACCTGATCTCATGGCAATTCGTACGCATTTTACAAGGTAGCTAATTTGTATAAATTCATACGACTTTTTCGAAATCGTACGTATTTTACGAGTTCCCCAATTCGTATGAATTTGTACGAATGACCTGCCCATCGCTGGGGTCTAGACAAATCGTAAAAAACCATACGATTGAGTTCGTACGAATTAGCCACCTCATAAAATACGTGCGAATTGGTCGTGAGATAGCGTTGGTCACCTACATTACTCAATTGAAATAACAATGGAAAACACTTTTTCTATCTTAGTTAAGCTAAAAATTTGCTAAAACGCTATTAAAATAAAAGTTATATCTGTTAATATTATTTATACCGGACCTGAGCTGATAAACGAACAATGAACAGTATTATTATTCGCTAAACGTAGCAAAGATGAATAAATATTGTAACAAATGTATCGCTCATTGTACGTTAATATTAGATAATGCATTAACTATCAGGACCTTTTTGCAAAGTGTTACCAAGACTTCTTTGCATTATGATGATTTCCTTTACAATGTGTAATCTTGTCATGGAAATAATTTCGTAATGCAAAAAAAATTAATAAAATAAAATAAATTCAAAATCGGATTTTTTTCCTCACGATTTTGGGGTGAAATAAACCAAATATTTCTTTGTGATATTCACTCGCCCCAACAGATACCACCACAGTTTATAGTGTCAACTTCAGACGCAGCAGCTTCGCGAAATAAGTAACCCACCTCAAACCGTAACAGGCAGCGTTATGAATTTCAAGTAGTGCTGTCAAACGATTAATCGCATTTAGTTTACATATGATATGTGTGTGTGTGTACTGTGTATATTTATTATGTATTTATAAATACACACACATGCATGTACAGTGGGGCAAAAAAGTATTTAGTCACCCACCAATTGTGCAAGTTCTCCCACTTAAAAAGATGAGAGAGGCCTGTAATTTTCATCATAGGTATACCTCAACTATGAGAGACAAAATGAGAAAAAAAAATCCAGAAAATCACATTGTAGGATTTTTAAAGAATTAATTGGTAAATTCCTCGGTAAAATAAGTATTTGGTCACCTACAAACAAGCAAGATTTCTGGCTCTCACAGACCTGTAACAACTTCTTTAAGAGGCTCCTCTGTCCTCCACACGTTACCTGTATTAATGGTATCTGTTTGAACTTGTTATCAGTATAAAAGACACCTGTCCACAACCTCAAACAGTCACACTCCAAACTCCACCATGGCCAAGACCAAAGAGCTGTCAAAGGACACCAGAAACAAAATTGTAGACCTGCACCAGGCTGGGAAGACTGAATCTGCAATAGGTAAGCAGCTTAGTGTGAAGAAATCAACTGTGGGAGCAATTATTAGAAAATGGAAGACATACAAAACCACTGATAATCTCCCTCGATCTGGGACTCCACGCAAGATCTCACCCCGTGGGGTCAAAATGATCACAAGAACTGTGAGCAAAAATCCCACAACCACACGGGGGGACCTAGTGAATGACCTGCAGAGAGCTGGGACCAAAGTAACAAAGGCTACCATCAGTAACACACTGCACCGCCAGGGACTCAAATCCTGCAGTGCCAGACGTGTCCCCCTGCTTAAGCCAGTACATGTCCAGGCCCGTCTAAAGTTTGCTAGAGAGCATTTGGATGATCCAGAAGAGGATTGGGAGAATGTCATATGGTCAGATGAAACCAAAATAGAACTTTTTGGTAAAAACTCAACTTGAGGAGAAAGAATGCTGAGTTGCATCCAAAGAACACCATACCTACTGTGAAGCATGGGGGTGGAAACATCATGCTTTGGGGCTGTTTTTCTGCAAAGGGACCAGAACGACTGATCCGTGTAAACGAAAGAATGAATGGGGCCATGTATCGTGAGATTTTGAGTGAAAACCTCCTTCCATCAGCAAGGGCATTGAAGATGAAACATGGCTGGGTCTTTCAGCATGACAATGATCCCAAACACAATCACAAACACTTGATTGCAGTTGTTGCTGCAAAGCGTGGCACAACCAGTTATTAGATTTAGGGGGCAATTCCAATTGCTTTTTCACGTAGTGCCAGGCATGTTTGGATTGCGTTTTTCCCTTAATAAATGAAATCATTATTTCAAAACTGCATTTTGTATTTACTCGGGTTATCTTTGTGTAATATTACAATTTGTTTGATGATCTGAATATTTTAAGTGTGACATAGGCAAAAAAAAATTTTAAAACAGGAAAGGGGCAAAAACCTTTTCACGGCACTGTATATTCATATAATTTATAATATATAAACAACATATTTTTCTGAAATATATACATGCATGTGTTTGTATTTATATATACATAATAAATATACACAGTACACTCACATATATTATGTAAACAAAAACTTTCCTTTTTGGATGCGATTAATCGTTTGACAGCACGCGTTTGAAGTATGAATCAGAAATGTTGCAAACATGAAGTTTGGAACCAATAACTTCAAACGAACTCTAAGATGTAATCTTGAGATCTGTCACAGTTTGTCTGTCCCGTGTTAAATCAGCAGGGAGGGGGGGGGCTTTTTGACTCGAAAACCCTCCAATGTGACTGAATTAAAACAATTCTGCAAAGACGAGTGGGCCAAAATTCCTCCACAGCGATGTGAAAGACTCATTGCCAGTTATCACAAACACTTGATTGCAGTTGTTGCTGCAAAGCGTGGCACAACCAGTTATTAGATTTAGGGGGCAATTCCAATTGCTTTTTCACGTAGTGCCAGGCATGTTTGGATTGCGTTTTTCCCTTAATAAATGAAATCATTATTTCAAAACTGCATTTTGTATTTACTCGGGTTATCTTTGTGTAATATTACAATTTGTTTGATGATCTGAATATTTTAAGTGTGACATAGGCAAAAAAAATGTTTAAAACAGGAAAGGGGCAAAAACCTTTTCACGGCACTGTATATTCATATAATTTATAATATATAAACAACATATTTTTCTGAAATATATACATGCATGTGTTTGTATTTATATATACATAATAAATATACACAGTACACTCACATATATTATGTAAACAAAAACGTTCCTTTTTGGATGCGATTAATCGTTTGACAGCACGCGTTTGAAGTATGAATCAGAAGTGTTGCAAACATGAAGTTTGGAACCAATAACTTCAAACGAACTCTAAGATGTAATCTTGAGATCTGTCACAGTTTGTCTGTCCCGTGTTAAATCAGCAGGGAGGGGGTGGGCTTTTTGCCAGGCCACGCCTCCTTGGCGTACTTCTTCTTGCGCGGCTCGTTGAGCGGCTCGGCCGAGTAGGGTCCGGGAGCAGGAGTGGGGTTCAGCACAGCGGGCGGCTGCACCGTCGTGGGCGAGAGGTCCACCTCCGGGGCGGGGTTGGGGAAGGGCAGGGGCATCCCGCCCGTGATGGCAGACGAGCCGCCCTGTCCTGTGGTCTCGTGGCTGGCGGGAGGCAGGTCACCATATGGCAAGACTACAGCAAAACACGGAGTACATCTAAGCTCCTTTACATTCAGACGTCAGAGTCAGACGACGAGGAAGCCATTACTTCTATACAATAATAATACAATTTCCTGTTTGCGAGCCATGCAACTTAAACTGTACTGAGAGAATGGCTGTTCTCAAATCCATTAAAATCAATGACGGCGCGCTAAAGCAACCAAGCAGACAAGAGCAGGCCAATGATCGCACCTTGATAGGAACCACAGCCGTCTGCACCATGTTTCTGAAGCGTCCTACAGACGGGTCCACGTCCTCTGTGAGAGGAGAAAAGACATGTAACAAAGGTCAAAACGCACACAAAGAATGAGAGAAGAGAGTGTGTGAAGACTGAGTCGTTCCAGTGAAAGGGGAGGTTAGTGCTTAGCAAGATTTTATTAATGCTTCTGAGTAAGTCTCATTTGCTCACCACAGCTGTATTTATGTGATTAAAAATGCAGTAAAAACAGGGATATTGTGAAATATTATTGCTTTTTAAAATACGTGTCTTCTATGTGAATATCTGTTCAAATGTAATTTAATCCTGTAACGTAAATCTGAATATTCAGCATCATTACGCCAGTCTTCAGTGTCACATGATCTTCAGAAATCAGTATAATATGCTGATCTGCTGCTCAAGAAACATTTCTGATTATTATCAATGTTGACAACAGCTTCATATTTTTGTGGAAACTGTGATATATTCTATTTTTCAGGATTCTGTGATGAATAGAAAGTTCAAAAGAACAGCATTTATTTTAAATAGAAATAACACTATACATGTTTTTACCGTCACACTATTGATCAATTTAACGCATCCTTGCTGAATAAAAATATTCATTTCTTTTAAAAAGCATCTTACGGAGTCCAAACCTTTGAACAGTAGAGTAACATATATATATATTCTATATTCATCGTGTGAGTACCTGGATTTATGATCTCCTCTTCTTCACTGAAGGAAACGCGCGAGCTCCTCCTCTTCCTCTTGGGTCTCTGGATTTCCAGGTTTCCCTCCTCGATGGTGAGTGTAGAAATGCGTTTGTTATGAGCCGTGTTGAACTCTGTCAGGTTCTGGAAGGGGTGGAGAAAAAAAAGGCATCAGAAAACCAGAAATCACGCATATTAAACTCTTGAGCGACAGTTATATTTACCTATATTTTGCATAAAATGTTACATAGAGGATTTAAATTAAGCACCTTCATATTTAACATGCAATAAATATCTGTTTTATATATATATGTCGGTCTGCAGAAAGCCAGCTGAACACGTCTGCTGTGACTTTAAATGCAGACCTTGAGCCAAAAACTCATCACCAAACACCAGAGACTTGTACATGCACTATATGGACAAAAGTATTGGGACAACCCCTTCTTTAGAACAGAAAAAGGCACTTCTGTGACAAAACTGTGGCAACAAAGATGGAAACATAATTCATGTATTTAAAATTGCATTTCCATCTCTGTTGCAACAGTTTTGGAAGTGTCTAAAATGACTCTATCCATATCTGTACAAGTCTCTGGTGTTTGGTGATGAGTTTTTGGCTCAAGGTCTGCATTTAAAGTCACAGCAGAGCTTTCTGCAGAACAGTCAAGTTCCCTTTCATGGGAACTTCGAACTGCGTCCTCTAGGGGTCGCTATGGGGAACGCCTCGTCGTGACTCGTATCTGAAGCATACATTGAAAAAACACCAACTCGTTGGCCGGCGACAGCCATGACGTCACTACCGGTGCGACTACAGTATAAATCGGTGCCGGGAGCTACACATTGTTCTCTTCTTCGTCTTCATTGACTGTTCTGTTTGAAGCGTGCATTTTCAAGGAAAAAGTAAGAGCTATCTATTAATATTATGGCGAGCACTAGTAGAGCATTTAGAAGGTGTGTGCATCCGTGTCAGCGCTATTTGACACCAGATGACACACACGATCTATGTGTTGTTTGTTTGGGCGAGGAGCACGCACGCGATGTCCTCGAGGGGGCAATCTGCGTGCATTGCGAGTTTTTTCCAATGAAAAAACTCCGTTCTCGTTTGTCTCTCTTTTCAAGTAAAGAGGGGCAGCCATCTGCTTCCCGCGGTTCAGGACCCTCCGCTGCTGAGGCACGGAGGAGAATGAGCTCGTGGCGATCTCAGGTGGACCTGGCCGATGAGTTTAGAGAGGGACTTTCCTTCTCGCGCTCATCGGCGGGGGGCGAGAGACAGCCACTGGAGGATGATGTTCTCTCTTTAACATCATATGATCCAGGGGCCAGTGCTCTGCTGGTTTCAGCCCAGGAAGAGCAGGAAATGGATGATGAGAGCGAAGAAGCTGAGGCTGAGCCTTCTCAATCCTCCTGCCCTGCGTATGATGAGCTCTTAGAGGTTATGGATCGCGCCACGGCAAGACTTGACTTGCCATGGAAGCGGACTAAGGAAGTGGCGTCGCGAGGTCGTCTCGACGAACGTTATCTTTCTGGCCATAACCCTCCAGCTCAGGTGAGTCTTCCTTTCCTTCCTGATCTCCATACTGAGATCGAGAAGGAATGGAAGAAGCCGTTTTCCTCACGCATCCATCGGTTTCAGCATACCAGTTATGCGAATATCGAGGCGGTGCGCGAAAACGGCTATGAGAGAATGCCCCCTGTAGAAGAGACGCTAGCTAGCTATCTCTCTATGGGAGAGACATCATCTCTCAAAACTCCCTCCTTGCCATCCATGCCTCTTCAAGCTACATCTAAAATGAATGGCAAGGCATACGCAGCAGCAGGTCAGGCTGTTGCTTCACTGCACACGATGGCGGTGCTTCAAGCATACCAGGCTGATCTGCTGAAAGACCTGGATAAAGGCGAGGGCCTTTCTTCTGATGAGATGGCTGAGTTACGCCGCACCACGGATCTTGCTCTTCGTGCTACTAAGCAGGCTGCCTCTGCCATGGGCAGATCTATGGCAGCGATGGTAGTAACGGAGAGGCAGCTGTGGGTAAACCTGGCAGACATCGGGAAGAAAGAAAGGGGTTTTCTTCTCGATGCCCCGGTTTCGCCCTCTGAACTTTTTGGTACATCCGTTGAGACGGTCATCGAAAAGTTCAGGGAGGCGAAGGCACGCTCAGCGGCCTTCAAAACCTTCATTCCACGAAGGTCCAGGTCTGAGCCCGAACAAACCAGGGGTCCTGGCCCGTCTCGATTTGAGGATCAGAGACGAGCACAGAAGGCTAGTGTCGCGACTCGCGCTCCTCCTCCGCCTGCGGGTAGGGGTAGGAAGTATCGTGGGTCGAAGGGAGGTAGGCAAGACCTGAGGGATGTGATCCAGACAAGGCGTCAGAGCTTTCGTCCGGATCAGAGTAATACTTAGGTATCCACTCTTTCCCTCAGGGGATGTAACATCTACCCCGTTCTATGGTTAATCATAGTAACCACCTTACTGAAGGTCCGGTCTAGAGGCTTTTCCGGACAGAGCTCCAACGCGGGAGCCGTGGTGGGTGAGTACGATCCATGTCTAAATATATGTATATAAATATATGTATGTGCTATGGAACTGGTGGTTGTGTGTACCCTTCTGCTAGTTTCTTTGCAGTGTTTCCCGTGCTGGGTTCAGAAACCGGGTGCTCGACTTGCAGTGTTTATAAACTCACTCGTCGAGATATGTCCAGAAGGTAAGTAAGGTTTCGGTTTCATACTTCCTGGATCATGCGGCTATAACACAGGCTTCTGCGGGAGTTTTGTGATTATCAGGCCCCCGGTGTCACTGCAAAAAAATTTCCTGGACGTCCGGGCTGGGGTTTACGCTTTCATGCTACCCTGACTGGTCTACCGTATCCGGGTCGCCCTGAGGGGTTTTTCCCGATCACCAGGATATCCCCTTGAGGCATCAACCCCCCTCACCATTGAGGGTTATTGTGAGTATGATGTCTCTTTCGAGCGTTAATCCTCTCTGAGGAGTTAGATTCCTCGCTCCATGGGCTGTCCTCATGGTAGTATTGAGACAATGCTCCCCTTTTATCAAAAGGGTTACCTGGAATGAGAGTTTACCCCTTACCCCTCTGATTTTTCAATCATGCTGCAGGTCGAGCTCCCTCTCGTTGAGAGCTGGGTTTGTGCTCCCTCAGCCAAGGTAAACTACTGCTAGCGTTCCTGCATTGGAACATGCTGTAGGCCGAGCCCCCTTCTCGACTGAGAACTAGGTGTGTTGCCCCCACAGCTAAGTAAACTATTGCTAGCTGTTCCAGTGCGGAACATGCTGCAGGTCGAGCCCCGTCTCGGTTTGAGAACTGAGTGTGTTGCTCCCTCAGCTGAATAACTGCTAGCTGTTCCACCATGGGAACATGCTGTAGGTTGAGCTCCCTCTCCATTAAGAGCTGGATGTTCTCCCCCAGCTACAGATTTACTGCTAGCCACTCCAGCATTATAGCCGTAGATATAGCGTCTGGGGATACGCTATTTTTATCTATAGGCTGCCTTTTCAGGGTGCCACGAGAACCCCTAGAACGGTATGCAAGTGTAGTGCACGTTATGCTTTGCCCACTTTTCTAAAATCCACATAAGTGGTAAGTGTGCACGTTATGCTTTGCCCACTTTTCTAAAATCCACATAAGTGGTAAGTGTGCACGTTATGCTTTGCCCACTTTTCTAAAATCCACATAAGTGGTAAGTGTGCACGTTATGCTTTGCCCACTTTTCTAAAAATCCTGTATGGTAAGAGCTACGCGCAAGACTTCGTGCTCTTTTTGAGTGGTTTAAAACCCCGGTTCTGCCTTGGGCACCACTCCCCCTATGTATCCTCTGGATACCTACTTAACAGGGTATTGCTACTAAGGATCTGTTGAGACAGTTCCTTCACCACAAGACAAACGTGCGGTAGCCCCTGTGTGACAGACCAAGACTAGTATGATTCTAGGCTCTTGGTCGTATTCCCTTAAAGGAATCTGTTTCTGATTCCAAGCCTTGAGCTCTACCCCGGGCCCAGGAGTCTGGCCCTAACAGGTAAGTAGTTTGGGGTATGTAGCCTAGGCCTTTGGCCGTAGGGAATAACGTCACTGACAGCCGTCTAAACGTCCCAGGGGCAACTCCCATAGCAATATGGTAGAGTTGGTTCTTAGTGAACAGTCAAGTTCTTCCACACTGACTCAATCAATCATTTCTTTTTGAACCTTGCCTTATACACAGAGGCATTGCCATGTATTTTCATGCTATAAAATTAGAAGCACACAATTCCCTAGAATATCATTATATGTTTCAACATTAAAGGTGGGGTAAGTGTTTTTTTTTCAAAAACGCTTTTTAAAACTGATTCGGGCCGAATAGCAAAACAAACTTGTAGCCAATCAGCAGTAAGGGGCGTGTCTACTCATGACGTGGAGGGGAGAGAGTTCAGGACACAGGACGGACATTAGCCGAGCCGAGCGACAGAAAGATAGAGACGGCGGATAAAAAAACAAAAGAGGAAAACGTCTGCGGAACAAAAGAAGGTTTAAGGCAAGAAGTAGGACCCGTGTAAATATCGATCAGCTTTCCAGCGCTGGAGAGAACTCAAGGAGCGGAAGGTCTGCGATCGGACGCCGAGGTTGTTTTGTTTCTTCTCGATAGGCGAGTAACACCGTGTCTGCGCCGCAACAGCTAAAGTCTGTCTAGTACACTGGTAACACTAGTAAAATCATTTGAAATGTGTGTCAATACGTCATGAATAGAACGCAGCACCAGTTTTCTGTCTGGGATTTGTCGTGTCATGCCGCGCCGCATCCAGTGTAGACCATAGATATATGTATATATATATCTCTGGTGTAGACAGCATCACTGATTATAATGAGTTCTATAGTATTTTGTCGCGCCACTCACGTCCGGTGTAGACACGGTGTAACATTGGTTTGGCTTTGTTTCACAGAACTAATCGTTGCCTGGGTTGCGTACGTATGTGTGGGGCGGAGCTATCAAAATAGGGGCGAGACATTTCAAATGTCAACATTGGCTACCAGAAATCTCTTACCCCACCTTTAATATTTGTACTCAAGCAGTCAAACCTGTTCATTAGAAGGGGGTGGCCCAATACTTTTGGCAATATAGTGTATATACAGTTGCATAAGGCTTTTGGGTCATTCCGTGTCAACTCAACCAGTTTTTTTTATTTTGTTGATTTGACACGGAATGACCGTTTTATTCACACACACACCCACACACACACGTCTGGTTTGCTATCCTTGTGGGGACTCTCCATAGGCGTAATGGTTTTTCTACTGTACAGACCGTATATTCTATCGCCCTACACCAACCCTACCCCTAAACCTACCCCTCACAGGAAACTTTCTGCATTTTTAGATTTTCAAAAAACTTAATTCTGTGTGATTTATTAGCTTGTTTACCCGTGGGGACCTCAATTTAGGTCCCCATCATGACACGAGTCCCCATGAGTCTGTGTGTATTCAGGTTTAAGTCCCCACCAGAATAGAAAAACAGGTAGACACACATACACACACCTCGAGCTCGGTCTCTTCCTCCGGCAGTCCCAGCAGCCCCTTCAGTTCCTCGTCCTCCACTCCTTTGCTGTCTCCTGTGCTGGAGCTGCTCTGCGTCTGCGGTTTCTCTCTCAGCGTGTAGACGCGTGTGGACGCTCCGAACGACATGGTGGAGTCGATCGGCACCTGCTGAGGTTTGCGGGGCTCGAGGTGGATTCTGCCCAGAAATGTGCCATGGGCTAAACAAGGACAGATCAAGATGAGATGGGAAGGATTCTGTACAGAGCGTGCTGTTGAAGAGCTCTGCACTCACTGCTGTTGAGGTCGATGAGGAACACTCTCTTGAGGTGTCTGTGGTAGAGCAGCGCCGCATGCACACGCGAGCACGACTGGTGGTCTATCGTGAAGTCACAGTGCTCAGGGTTCCTCCCAAACAGATAGAACTTCTTCTCATCGATGATCAGCTTCTGCAGGTGACACCATGAGGCTCATTCACTATGACACACACAATACTGCTGGTTTTATACTGTTATAATGGGGTTGATGATCATTAATCATTAAGTAAGGTTTAAAACTGATAGTACAGCCAATTTCAAAGATGGCTGTTATTCACCCAAAAATGAAATTGTGTCATCATTTATTCACTCTTTACAGTCATTAGTCATTACAAAGCCAACTGACTGACTTTCTTCTGTAGAACACAAATAAATTAAAGCAATTCGCCCCAAGAAGCCGTGGTTTACAGTGAATTTATAACAGCTAAGGGGGTTATCCGCTTCGCGTCGTGGCTAACAACGCCCCTCAGCTGTTATAAATTCACTGTAAACCACGGCTTCACGGTGCTTATTGCTTTTATAAAACGGTTATTCCATATACTACCAGAAATCTCTTACCCCACCTTTAATATTTGTACTCAAGCAGTCAAACCTGTTCATTAGAAGGGGGTGGCCCAATACTTTTGGCAATATAGTGTATATACAGTTGCATAAGGCTTTTGGGTCATTCCGTGTCAACTCAACCAGTTTTTTTTATTTTGTTGATTTGACACGGAATGACCCTTTTATTCACACACACACGTCTGGTTTGCTATCCTTGTGGGGACTCTCCATAGGCGTAATGGTTTTTATACTGTACAGACCGTATATTCTATCGCCCTACACCAACCCTACCCCTAAACCTACCCCTCACAGGAAACTTTCTGCATTTTTAGATTTTCAAAAAACTTAATTCTGTGTGATTTATTAGCTTGTTTACCCGTGGGGACCACAATTTAGGTCCCCACCATGACACGAGTCCCCATGAGTCTGTGTGTATTCAGGTTTAAGTCCCCACCAGAATAGAAAAACAGGTAGACACACACACACACACCTCGAGCTCGGTCTCTTCCTCCGGCAGTCCCAGCAGCCCCTTCAGTTCCTCGTCCTCCACTCCTTTGCTGTCTCCTGTGCTGGAGCTGCTCTGCGTCTGCGGTTTCTCTCTCAGCGTGTAGACGCGTGTGGACGCTCCGAACGACATGGTGGAGTCGATCGGCACCTGCTGAGGTTTGCGGGGCTCGAGGTGGATTCTGCCCAGAAATGTGCCATGGGCTAAACAAGGACAGATCAAGATGAGATGGGAAGGATTCTGTACAGAGCGTGCTGTTGAAGAGCTCTGCACTCACTGCTGTTGAGGTCGATGAGGAACACTCTCTTGAGGTGTCTGTGGTAGAGCAGCGCCGCATGCACACGCGAGCACGACTGGTGGTCTATCGTGAAGTCACAGTGCTCAGGGTTCCTCCCAAACAGATAGAACTTCTTCTCATCGATGATCAGCTTCTGCAGGTGACACCATGAGGCTCATTCACTATGACACACACAATACTGCTGGTTTTATACTGTTATAATGGGGTTGATGATCATTAATCATTAAGTAAGGTTTAAAACTGATAGTACAGCCAATTTCAAAGATGGCTGTTATTCACCCAAAAATGAAATTGTGTCATCATTTATTCACTCTTTACAGTCATTAGTCATTACAAAGCCAACTGACTGACTTTCTTCTGTAGAACACAAATAAATTAAAGCAATTCGCCCCAAGAAGCCGTGGTTTACAGTGAATTTATAACAGCTGAGGGGCGTTGTTAGCCACGACGCGAAGCGGATAACCCCCTTAGCTGTTATAAATTCACTGTAAACCACGGCTTCACGGTGCTTATTGCTTTTATAAAACGGTTATTCCATATACGTAGTAATGTTTCACAAAATAAAACAGAGCAAATAAAGTGTGATGATATTAATAAATACAGTATTCTTCCACCAAACAATGTAGCTCCTCAGAAACAAAAACTTAGGGCCTAAAGTGGGACTCTTTCATTTGTAATTCATTTGTAAAAAGTTCTAGCTGTGCTAAGGCCTCATGAATAATTAAATCATTAAACTAATTAGTTCAAGTACTTCAAATAGAATATGTTGTGCTGTTTTTGCATTAATGTGAGTATTTGATGATTCGTGTTTATTACTTTCATATTGTTACAGCTCCCTCTGAGTCATTTCAAAGCCCTGCACCCTAGCAAAGATCATTTTTTGAAAAATTATTCGATCAGTTATGAGTTGATTTAGGGTTTCTCGGATATGATATTGTTATAGTTTTTATTTTGTTAGTATCGTTTATTTTTATGATGATTTGTTATGCTTTAATATCAATCTCATTTATTTCCACTTACTGTAGAGCAGTTGAGGACAGAGCTGTATGCTGCTGGGTGCCAGCTGAGAGATGGGGGATGTGCATATTAATCTTGCGGAGTGATGCTTGCGAACAGTTGGCTGCTTCTCTGGCCTCAAGCTGCACTGCCCTGTTGCTCTATGAATAATGTGACATGCGAGATCATGCCAACTTTCTGTCCCACTCTGCAGTGACACAAACACACGCACACACACACACACACACACACACACACACACACATCTTGAAGAATGTTGGCAAACAAACAGTTTTGATGCCATGGCATTTTTTTTTGTTTTTGCATTGTATGGACATTTTTCTAAATATCTTCTATGGTTCACAGAAACAGAAAGTCAGTTTTACAGTTGTTGAATGACGTTTAACCCATTTCCCACACATTTTAAACAATGAATTACCGTGACTCTTCCCATATGTATTTATTTTTTAATTATAAAGACTGCATATGTGGATTTCTTGGTGATGGAATATTGTAGAGCTGATCGCAAATGTTTAAAGATCGAATTGAAATCTTATTAATACATTATTTCTTTCTATAACTATTACAGGCCAGGGAAATAACACAATTAGTTATTCAACATGTGTGTTTTCCTATTCTCGATGGAACTTTCTTTATTTTCCAACTCTTATAGTCTCAGAATATATAGTTATATAAAGGGGAACAAGTCCACCAGGTCAAAGTTCACGATCATCATTATATTTCCATTGCTGCTCATTTAACACCGTCTTACCTCTATTAATTTGTCTCCTTTAACCACGTCCAGATGGAGTCCAGGTGGAGGTTTTCCTGCCCTGAGATTAAATTAAATGTGACCAAATTCATGCATTCATTCCCCCTTCAGTCTCCTAAACCTGCAGTGTCATTTCTATATACTCTATGCACAAACGCATTTATTTGAAAGATTGACTAGAGCTGCATATGGATCATAATAAATGATCATATTTAAGTGTAATAAAAGCAGATTAGTCTGCATGTTTTATGAAACCTATAACTTCATTCAACACAGGAATCGGCAAAGCATCGCTTTATCACATGCCAAAATGTATATAGGGCTGTAGTATACACCAGACATCCAAAGGAATGATAATAAAGTCGGGTGATTAATGCATGCATGCAGAGTGGACTGATCTGCTGCGGTGTATTGCGTTACTGTCCGCGCCTCATACAGGACTGAGTTGCACGGTTTTTATTCATGGCACTCATAATCCACGCATCCGCTCCACACACGCGCATGCAGGGCTTTTGCTTGCATTGCAATAAGGATGCACTTAATTTCTCATCTCACCATGACGGGCAGTCGAAGACAGCTGTGTCTGTGCTTGCATTCGCCGCCATTTTGCACAGTCAATACCGGGTAAACATTAGCAGACCTCTTCTTCTTCTTCTTCTAATAACGTTTTATGGCGGATGGCAAACCAACTTCTGGTGCATTTACCGCCACCAACTGGACTGGAGTGTGGAGCACTAATATGCAACTACTATATACATATTTATATTTATCTATATTTTATATAAAAAAAATAAAATACAAAAATAATAATAAACAAAAATAAAAAAAATACCCACAAATTCCTAAATTCTCCTGACTAATCCTATTTCTTTAATGTATTTAACAATAGCACCATATATTTTACCTTGTTCTGCATGCTCTTTCAAGAGATTTGACAAATTAAATGATTCAACACCCATGTTTCTTACTTCCTTAATGAGTTTAACCTTTCTTTTTCAATATTTTGAATATTATACATTTGTCTGCCCTTGCTTTCACAGTTCCATACTTCTTGCCATTTTTTGTTTATGAATTCTTTAATTTTCCCTTTAACCTCATTTTTGCTAAGAGTCACTTGAATATCTATTTCTGAGTGTTTAAGAGCTTGCTTAGCAAGCTTATCAACCGCTTCATTAGCCTCCACTCCCACATGAGCGGGAACCCACAAAAATGTTATTAAGCTTACATTACTTATTCTTAACAAACTTGCAAGAATCTCATAAATAATGTCTTGCCTTGATGTTTTTACTCCACTTGCAAGGCTCTATACTGCTGCATAAGAGTCAGAACATATTACTACTAACGTCTACCCACTGGAGTGCTACCACCATGCCAATCAATTCTGCTGTATACACGGATACATGATCAGTTATTCTTTTCTTATACTAGTTTGAAACTTTGGAATAAATACTGCAGCAGCTGTTCTGCCAGAGATAGAGTATTTAGAACCATCAGTATATACAGTGGGTACGGAAAGTATTCAGACCCCCTTAAATTTTTCACTCTTTGTTATATTGCAGCCATTTGCTGGATTGTGGGACTTGTAGTTCGCTCGTTTGACACCTGATGCAGTTTATGGACTTGGTTACTGATTCCTTTCGTTTTAAAAATAATGTCCTATATCAAGATGATAATTGTATATATGCAGTGACAGTATTATGGCATTATTGTTTTTATATTATTAAAAGAAAGGTTTTAGTAAAGAGACTTTTGACACGGTCTCAACTCTAAACAACCTGTTAACTTACCTCTATATCCGCATCTATTCAGTTTTGTAGAACAGACTTTCCATTCCACAGATACGGACATGGCATCCTGCTTTGATCTCTGACTCTTGACTGAATGCAAAAATAACCGGTCTTTGCATTTCTCTGAATTGGGCCTATTATTATTAATATTTTAGGCATTCTATAGGCATCCTAACAAGGTTCTTTGGGGTCCCTTTACAAGACCGCAAGTCCTACTTTCACACCACTCAACAACGATTATTATTAAATGTACAATTAACATAGCACAAAATAGAACATTTCCAAAAGTCTAGTAAGGTCAAAGGTCCCGTTTTGTTTTTTTAACCGTTAGTTCTCCTTTAATTACTCAAGCAGTTACTCAGAGAAACCTGTCTTGCATTATTAGTATTGAAAAGGCAATTGAAAACCAGTAAGCCACATAACATTTGATTCCCCCCCCTAAAGAACTGCATTCAGATTGTGCTGAACACATTTCGAAGCATTAAAGAAATAGTTCACCCAAAAATGAACATTCTGTCACTAGAGCCTAATATCTTAAAATATCTTCTTGTGAGTTTATAGGTTTGGAACAACGTGACGATTTTTTTCATTTTTGGGTGAACTATCCCTTTAAGATGCTTAATGTATCTACAGATGTTAAATATATTTTATAGCAAATGATACGGGGAAAACTGTTGGCACTTTGCACCAAAATGGAATTGCTATTATGCATATTTTTTAATTGATAGTGGCATCAATTACAGAAGTTAGAATTTGTTTAGAGATGTTTATAATAACATAATGGTAATTATGCATAACACAATTGATATATTGCATGTGTTAGAATGTATTACATAAATAGAGAATTGATATTCTATATGGCAAATTTTAACCCAAATAGATTCCATTTAATGAATATAAGAATCCATATTACTATTATTTACAATTGAAGAAGAACATGGTTTTATCTGTGATACTGTATTTTAAATACTCTAGTGGTAAAAATATTCAGTAATGCACAACACAGTGCCTTTACCGTATTTATGGCTCTATAAACAGACTATAATTTCTGTTCTCAACGGCAAAAAGCTAACGACCGAACTTCTTTTTTCGAAACACTTGGTAGACGGCGAATTAAAACACAATCTTGCCCTGCATTTCTCAATAAATCAATACTTCAATGATTCAAGTAAAAGTTTTATTAACAAAGCCAACCCCGACAATAAATTACACATTCACTTAGAAGATCCCTGCTCGTGAAATTCTGTTAATCTCAAAATACTTGACAAGAACACAAAGTGTCTGTGGAAAAAAAAAGAAAGAAAGAAATGGAAGTGAAATCAAAGCACATCACCGCCAAGTTCCCAGTAGCTGATGGTAAACCAGGTCAGGCTGTCGGAGGGGGATCTGTGAGCACGGCACGGAGGGAAACGTTTCGTAGTGCTTCTTCGAAAACCAGATTCTCTTTGTTACAAACGTCAAATACAGTTGTGCTCCCAGTTAACACACAAAAGACATTCATCTTCATATCTGTATATCAGATCATGGCACGAGTAGACGCACTGAAACAGCACAGGAGCACAGAAGCACGCTACTTACAACATCAGCCCAGCACACGACACAAACCCAGCAATCACCCCAACCATCAGAAGTCGTTCATGTACAGTATGTACAGAAGAGCAAAGGCGCTCGCTTTTTGGGTAATCTTTTATTAGTCGGGAAGGGAAAACTTAAGTCAAGTTGACTTGGTACATCTATAAAACACATTTGAGTTGTTTGTTTTTAAGTCCGTTCACATTGCAAGCTAAAGCTCCCAAATGCAATTTTCTGCCCAACTCAGGTTGTCGTCATAACTTTTTAATAAAATCTGGTCCATATCCGATACTACCTACACTGTTTTCTTGTGGCGTCATATTAAATCTCATGAAGTTACACAACCGTTTAAAAGTGTGGGGTCAGTACATTTTTTTTTTGTTCAGCAAGGATGCATTAAATTGAACAAAAGTGACACTAAAGACTTAAATTAATACAAATAAAATAACAGCCGTTATAAGCAGCACAGATGTTTCTTAAAGGGGTCATATGATGCGATTTCAATTGGTCCTTTCTCTTTGGTGTGTTACAAGCTCTTGGTGCATAAAGAAGATCTGTAAAGTTGCAAAGACTAAAGTCTCAAATCCAAAGAGATGCTCTTTATAAAAGTTAAGAGTCAGCCACACCTACCTAAAACGGCTCGTTCTAACACGCCCCCACATATCTACATCACTATGTGGGAAGATTTGCATAACACCGCCCAAATGCTCACGCAAAGAAAGAAGGCATAACTTTTATTCTCGCTGTAGTATTGTTGTTGCCGCCGCCGCCGCCGCCATGTCATGAAGACGCTGTGTGCTTCGTTGTGAAACCGAAACTACTTTGTTTGGCCTTCCAAAAGAGGACGAGATCTGATTCGTCATGCCTGGAGCTGATCTGTGCTGGTCGCTGAGGAAATACATCAACTTCGCTGTGGATCGCCGGATCGGCTTTCACCGTGGACGAAGCGGAGTCCAGCCCGGAGTCGTCACAAGTGGTTGCTGCAAGCCCACCCACCGCCGCTCACTCAAAGCCACCGTGTGTGACGCTGTGTGTTTCGTTGTGAAAGCGAAACTACTTTGTTTGGTCTTCCAAAAGAGGACACGACTAGAAATCAGTGGTTAAGTTGTATTTACAACACTGTTCCAGAACACTTCAACCCAAATATTCAGATGTGTGCAGCGCATTTTATGGAGGACTGTTTCCTGAACCTGCAGAATAGCCTGTGCACAAAGGCCGTTTCTATAAGTGGGACAGTTCCAACTTTGCAAGGACAGTCTGGCGCTTCTGACTCACAGCCTGTAAGTACGTTTTATATATTTAAAGAATTTCAGAGCACACCTCGCTTTTCAGACCGGTGAGCTTTGTAAAAATCGACGCGTTTCAGAAAGGCGGGGCATAGAGGAGAAACAATAATGTACAGTATGTGGAAAATAATGTGTTTTTTTACCTTAAACACACACTGCATAAACACATTTCATTACACCAAATACACAAAATAATGTTCTTTGTAGCAACATCATATGACCCCTTTAAATAGCAAATCAGCATAAGAGTGATTTCTGAAGATCATGTGACACTGAAGACTGGAGTAATGATGCTGAAAATTCAGGTTTGATCACAGGAATAAATTACATTTCAAATAAAATTTAACAGCTCTCAAATATATTATTAAATTGTAATCATTTCACAAAATTAACTTTTTACTGTATTTTTGACTTTCTGACCCCAAATGTTTGAACAGAAGTATATATGAAATGTTGCACTTCCAATCATAAATCCACACATTTTCACACCTTCTGTTATGACTGTTCAATGCAAGTCACAGCATCCACAAGTATTTGGACACCTAAGTCACGTCTGAATGTCTTTGCATTTCATATTTTTATATATATATATGCGCGTGTGTGTATGTGTTGTCAAACAATTAATTGCAATTAATCGCATCCAAAATAAAAGTTTGTTTACATAATATATTTGTGTGTACTGTGTATTTATTATGTATATATATATATATATATATATACACACACACACACGTATATATTTCTGAAAAATTTTATATTTGTATATTAAATAACATGTAAATATTTCCAATATATATACTGTATGTGTGTATTTATATATGCACATCAAAATAAACAGTACACACACATTACATTTAAAAATATATTTTTTGGATGAGATTAATCATTAGTCATCATTTGACAGCACTAATATATATATATATATATATATATACACACACACACACACACACACAAACTTGACT